GGGATATTACGGGATGTTCTGAGGATGTAGTAAGTAGGACTTTAAATCCCAATAACATCCCATACGCTGCCGATGGGACATAGATAGGATGTTTTTAGGATATAATGGGATGTGTTTAGGATGTTAGTGGGATATCCCGGGATGGCCTGAGGATGTAGTAAGTAGGAGTTCATATCCTAATAACATCCCGCATGCTGTCGATGGGACTTAGTTAGGATGTCCTGAGGATATCCTGGGATGTGACTTTAAGCACTCAGGAGGAGGTGTTTAGGAGGTTCGCGGGATATTCCGGGATGTCCTGAGGATGTGCGCATATCCCGCGAGCAACATCCTCGGGATATCCCAAGGATGTTTTTGTGCTATGTGGGGACGACCCACTCGGCACTCGCTGCCCGGCTGTCAACTCGATCTACTCCGCAGGGATTGACTCGCTAGACGAGACACGAACTCGATACTAACTCTCCGCGTACCAGCAGGGTTTATGTAGCTTTTGACTGGTGTTCGAGAACATTCTGGGCTAAACCGGTAAGAAGTCGTTCCAGAAGGTTCTCCATCCGTCCATGGTATATCGCCAATTTTGTCGCCAAATGAGCGATTTCTCGCCAAATGTGAGACCCTGCATTCCTTGTTATTTTATGGCAACCATAAAGCTGCTTTGCTGGGAAGCTATCTCATTTCGTAACAATATTAACAAACAGCTACATTTCGTAACAATATTGAGGATACTACTTATAGCATTCCTGTTAGTGTTGCTAGTACCGAAAGATCATTCTCCAAATTAAAATTGATCAAGACATATTTACGGTCAAGTATATAGCAGGAAGGACTCCGATTTTCTTTGATTGCCATTGGAAGTGAAATCTGTCAAGAGATAGATGGAAAAGAAATTGTAGAAAAATTTGTAAATATGAAATGCAGAAAAATAATTTATCTTCAATAAATTGTTAAAATAAATTTTCAACAAATTCTTTCTTCAAAACTTTCTTCTCCTATACAAAAATTTAAAAAAGAAAGGGGCTGACTTCAGCTATTTTGCAGGCGCTGCATCAATATTAACGCTTCAGAAAATTATTCAACGCTGCTCATTGGGAACTGAAACCAATGGTTGAATATTGGACAGGATACAGGTACGCTAGTTGGTCATTTTAATTTTAATCGATATTAAAGAATCGGCGCTTACTAATAGAATATATTGAGTTTTATTTAATTATTATCGAACTACACCTCGAAAGTCTGCAAACACATTACTTGAAAAATAGTACAGTCTGTCAAATTTCACTCCATCCTTCAAAAATATCGCTTCACTGTATTTTTTAATAATGAGTTAAATTGTGACAAAACGTTTTTCAAGTCGAGACCTTTGTTGGAGAGACGGAAAAAAAATATAAACGCGAGAAAATAAGTAAAATGGATTTTTAATTTAAAAAATCTGAATTTATAGCATGATGGGAAAGAGGAAACATAGCTAATCCAGTTCTTCTACAAGCCACTCGACTCGATTTTTACCTGTTTGTGTAACGAGTCAACTGATCATTCTCAATGCAACGCTTGTTTTAGAAAGAAGTGGCATTAATGTTATTTAGATTGAAATTCTAGGAAAAAATTAACACAAGGTCTTAATCCAAAAATGTTTATAACCTAGTTAGTTTATTGATAATACTCCACTGTTAATTAGGGTAGTTTTTTACTTAATCAAATTGGTGGCATTAAATAAAAAATAAAATCAAAGATCTTAAATATACAGTGTCTCACAAAAGTGATGGGACACTTGTGCTTTACAAAAGGAAACTGTAATAAAATTAATTAAAAAACATGTAAACATTTTTTGCGGATGTGTTTCATACTTAAATTTAGTAAAAATTATTACATAACATACATTTTCTCAAAATATTAAAATATTAATTTAATAAAAATACAATTGTTTAGAACGGAGCAAAAAATGGCTCACATAAGTGATGGGACACCATTAGATACTACTACATACTACAATAGAAATATTTTTTTGGGTTTTTATTTTTACTCAAAAGCAATTGGCAATAATTTATAAAATCGTCTGCAGTATTTCTCTCCAGTTTGTTTTGGAAATTTTGTGTTTTTTAGCTCTGTGCAGCCATGAATGCTAAACGAAAAGAAACTTTGCCCGAAATTCGAAAATTAGTTATTAATTTGCATATTGAACGTGGAAAATCTGTTAGAGAAACTGCTGAAACAGTTGAGTCATTCAACAGTTTTCAATATCATTAAACGATATAAAAATAATCATATGATTCAGGATAAAAGAAGACCTGGCCGACCATCAAAGCTATCCAATGGAAGAAAGCGAATTATCGTTCGAAATATTAAAACAAAATCCAAAAATGAGTGCTCCTAAAGTTGCGTCTGATTTACAAGCATTATATGGAGTAATTGTTAATCCTGAGACTATTAGAAGAGTAATTCGATCTGCTGGATATCACGGTAGAGCAGCCAGCAAAACATTCTTCGTAAGTGAAAAGAATAGAAAACTCAGACTGGCTTTCGCAAAATCCAACATAAAAAAGAATTCTGATTACTAGAATGAAGTTATATTTGCTGATGAGAGTAAATTTAATATATTTGGTTCTGACGGTAGAATCTTGGTGTGGAGAAAACCCAGGGAAGAATTTCGCAAACAGAACTTGGTGCCAACAGTAAAACATGGTGGAGGAGGAGTTAAGGTATGGGGGTGTATGTCATCCGCTGGAGTTGGTCATTTTGTTTTTATTGACAGTATAATGGATCAGTACAAGTATGTTAACATTTTAAATCAAAATTTGAAATCTTCAGCACGAAAATTGAACCATCATAAACGATTTTAAATTCTACCAGGGACAATGACTCCAAGCACACTGCTTTGAACGTTAGAGTCTGGCTGCTGTATAACTGTCCTGGAAATAATAAAAACACCACCTACAATCTCCAGACTTAAATCACATAGAAAATATTTGGCAAAAATTGGAATCAAGAATTCGCAAACATACCATTTCTTCAAAACAATTAAAATCGTGCTTCAAGAAGAATGGGGTAAAATCACTCCAGAAATCCCAAAAAGATTAGTCGAATCCATCCCAAGAAGATTAAATCACATTTTAAAAGTAAAAGGAAATCCAACAAAATATTAAAACCTTTTAAAAAGTAAAATTTTTGGATAAATATTGATGGAAAAGTAAGTGTCCCATCACTTATGTGAGCCATTTTTTGCTCCGTTCTAAACAATTGTATTTTTATTAAATTAATATTTTAATGTTTTGAGAAAATATATGCTATGTAATAATTGTTACTAAATTTAAGTATGAAACACACTCCCAAAAAATTTTACATGTTTTTTAAATTTATTTTACTACAGTTTCCTTTTGTAAAGCACAAGTGTCCCATCACTTTTGTGAGACACTGTAGAAAAATCAGACGACAAATTTAAAGATTTTATGACATTATAGGCTAATAAGACTGTTCTAAGATATTAAACTGCACGTTAAATATTGGGAAAAACGGAGAAAATTGAGCTGAAACATGGGGATAATGAAGAGATAAAAGGGAACGGAATATCAGAAACGTTTACTAACGATGATATTAAGATAAACGTTATGGATGTCAGGAAATCAAAGTGGCGATAACAAAACAAATCTGCAATGTTTTACGTTAAATTGGTTCTTTATTATTCATTATAACTTACTGTTACGAATTTTGTACATAAAATAGATGATTTTAGTGCAGCTATATATGAAATTTGAAGAATTTTGTATAATCAGTTATAAATAAAACGTTACATTGGCAAGTGGGGAATAAATGGGATATAATTTAAAAAAAAAGCGTGACAAATTGGTAGAAAAGAAAGATTGTGAATGAATAACGGATCTCATATTGAACACTTCTAGGTATGAACAGACATACAGATAAGTTTCTTTTATTATGGAAAAATTCTGAGACCCGTGTACTTAATGCTCTTTAAAGACTCTTTAAATGTATAATTTCTTTTGACAGAATTCGATTTTCGAAACAGCTGATATTCTTCTTATACATATATTCTTATACGTAAGTATGTGCAGCTAACCTGTAAACAAAGCTTGCAAGTACCTTTTTCAAAAAATGAAATATCATTTTCGGAAATTGCCAGGCGAATGGCTATAGAGATCATTAGCTTGATATACGGCATGAGGCAGCATTTTTTAGAGTTCGACTATTTGGCGCTTTGTTAACTGAGATGAAACCAGAAACGTTTATATATCGATCCATTTGGCTCAAATATAAACATGTTTTTTTTTATTTTTAGAACTTTTGCAATGACTTTATGCAGGTTTTTTTAGTACAAGGCTTACATTTGCAACCGAATTCATTTGTGTGATTATGGTAAAGCCTCGAGGGCTATTTGCCTCAGGAATGCCTTCGTGGAGGGAAACTGGCTCGAATACACGTTACATATGGGGAAAACCCTTAGATTTGCAACAAACGTTCTAACAATTTAAAAAATGCTATTATATAACTCTGAAAAATCCTCATTTAGTCCTCTCTTCTATGAGTTAGGGCGAAAGAGGGGAAGTTTTTATTACTTATATATATCGTTTACAGCGTTTCTCATACTTGGAGAATTGCAGTATTTTTCACTTTTTAAAACATATTTCGAATTCATATGAAAAATAAGGCATGGAAAATATATTTAGACGCATTTTAATTAAAATTTCATTATTTTTACGATCCATTTAGCCTAACATAAAATACATTTTTAGCTTAAAAGATAAAATTTTTAATCGCTTCATAGATTCAGGGTATCGTTTTTCAATTATACTAAAACATCTGGAAGGATTTCAATGAAACTTCCATAGTTTATTTCATAGGCTTTTCTAGCGTCATTATTTGTCTGTCAGATACATTGGCGAGGATAAAACATTTTGGCGACTGAAAGCTGTTGAAGTTAGGGGTATCATTCGTAACATACTGAGGCAAGATTTTTACCAGAAGAACCGATTTGCAATCAGTATGAGAATGATTGTTAATATAGATTAAAATGTTAGTAAGATTCTTCTATTATCTTTAAGATAATAGTACAATAATTTAATTACAGAGAGATTAGTGCATAATGCCGTGGACAACATACGAAAGAAGTTTAGCATTATTAATGCTTGTCGCAGGTTCCATAAGTACTTTAGCCACGAAGTAAGAAAATAATATTTTCCTAATACACACTAGTCTTTGAAAACGTTAATGCATGTATTAAAGATTTCAAATTTTGATCGCAAGCTATTAAAATAACAAAAACGAAATAAAATCTTAATCATTTATAACTCTAATTTGATGTTTTTAGTATATAAATGAATTTCTTTCAAAAATAATTATATATTATATTTTAACGTTTAATTAAATAAATTGATTTAATACTGGTTTAATATTTGAAGCAAATAATTTTAAGTAATGTAATCAAAGCGGTACTGGTCAGTTTATTTTCAAGTGTTTTCTTCTATTTTTATTAAAGGATAAAAACTGGGGGCGGGGTTGGTGTGATAGATTTTGTGTCTGATAAGTTTATTTTTGACTGACACTATCAAGGTTATCGAATGTGGGAGGTTTCAAAGGAAGCTATTATATATTTTAACAACTGAAAGTGCTTTTAGGCATGTTTAGGGAAAGAATGATCCAACGTTCCCGAGAGAAAAACTAATGGTGACTGATAATTGATTAATTTAATAATTTAGAATAAAAATCCTGATCTTTAATGCAAATTTTCATAGCTACCTTTCTTTAATGCTTATTAAACCACAATGTCATAAGTATTTCCCAAGAATTACAATATAGTGTAAGATCATAACACATTGAAGTACGAAAAAAAAAAAAAAAAAAAAAAAAGAGAGAGAGATTTGAAACCAAAACTTATGAAGAATAAAGACAATTTTGAAGCAAACAGAATGAAGTGGTAAGATACCAGTGACTATTTTAAATAAGAGAAAATATTTTGGAAAACATTGATTATAATTAAATTTGAAAAATCTCTTTCAGTAGCTGCTGCTTAGTAACCGAATTTCTAAGTAAGAAGAAGCATTTTATATGGAAGCCCATATAGTACAAGGAAAGAACAGTTTTAGTTTAGAAAAATGCAAGACGTTCACGCGAAGAGAAATTCACATAAAAATTGTTTTCATCCGTAAAATATATAAAATTGAATTCGTTGTGTGTTATTAAAAACTATGAAAAGAAGGAAAATTAGATTCTGAGTTAATTTCAGGAATAGAGACTAAATTAATGTTTCAGAAATCTATTTGAAACAGAGATACGTATATTAAATTCAAGGCTGATGAATTACATCTTAAATAACCATTTTGGTAATTAAAAAGAGCAAAAGTAAAATCAACATGATAGTTTCATAAGACATTTTACTGCTTCTTTCTAATTTAAACAAAAACTGACATTGATTTGACATGTAAAGATAACATTGAGGAATGGCGTATTTTTTGGGGCCATGATTAAAATCTCAAATGATTTCTTACGACATAAATATAGAATAATGTAAATATTTGGCGGTACATACAATGATCAAAAGCCAAAAGTTATACAGGAACTGAGTACTTCAAGTTCATAGTATCTTAAGAATATCTTTGCAGCCGAGTTTTTAAGAATTCTGTGGTTTTACGAGACCACATTTGCTCATGACACTATTATCTGCTTTGGAAGATAACACTGTCCGGAATCGTATTGTCTGCCCCGTACAGTTATCTCTTCTTTCGAATTAAAGTTGGAAATAAACGATATACAGTACAAAATCTTTAATCCGGACTCGTCGGGACTTCGGCGATTCCAGATTAGGGGTTTTTTCCGGATTATATATCATCAATTTTAATCTGGTAAGATGGCATGCAGAAATTATAAAATTAGAAATATGAAACCGTAATTTATGAAATAAAGAGCAATTATGATCTAAAAGGTAACAAATTTAAAAAAAAAAAAAAAAAAAAAAAAAAAAAAAAAAAAAACTTAATATTTATTTGTTTATTTTATTAAATATTTCTTTCAATGTAAGTTTTTTAAGTTGCTTCGTTTTATGTGCTAATCCTTTCTCTTTAATTCTATAAATTCTCGCTCAGTTACAAAGTTCCGCTGTTTAAGTCCTGTAATTGCTGTGTCGAGAATACCGACTAATTAGTCAATCGAAATTTTTTCGTTTTCACTAACCTCTCTGTAACTTTCTTCATGCCTTTATCCATTTTTTGCAGCAATTCCACTTTTTGTTTGATGGACATCGAAATATGCTTTCACTTTGTAGATCTTTTGGCAGCTCCAGAATCAGAAACTCTTTTCGACATAATCGAAAGTTCAAGCGTACTTTTTATAAAATTGCTCTAAGAGTCTTCAAAAAATAATAAGCCGGATCCAGTTAGAAGATTAAGGAACAACGCAATCTGCAACATTAACTGAAATAGAAAATTAGATAATTTTAGCCTAGCTTATACCGTCCGTTATACATTAAACGCGCATGTGTAAACGTATTATGCGCATGTTTAAACGCATTATGCGCAGGAAGTTTGTAGCTTTGAGGTCCGGATTATAGATCATTCCGAATTACGGACGTCCGTATTAAAGACTTTATACTGTACTAGTTTTAATTTAATGTTGTTAAGGATTAAGCAGTAGATATCCCCCCCCGTGTTAAAAAAAGTACCGAAATTTAACACTTCTTTAACAGAGACAACAATTTTGAAAATGGAAAGTTTAGAAGCCTGTGGAAAATTTGCGTTCATTTTTTTAAAATATTCTAATTGACTAAAATTATTAATATCATAATTAAACGAAATTAGCAAAATTTTATTTTTATTTTAATCTTCGATTGAAATGACATTTGAAATAGTATTTGCTACAATATTAACACTTTTATGGGCAGATTTTCATCAAAAGAAAGGAGAAAACTGGGAAATGAATATTTGGAAATCAAGTCAGTATAGCATTGCTTATTGCCCATCTGATGTCTCTCTATCTATCTGTATATATATGTACTAATATTTCGTTACAACTATTATTGATTTTCTAAGAATGCCTACCAGGAAAGCATATTTTTTAGACTTGCTAAAAACTTTCTGAAACACAAATCAGAAGTTATTATTTTCTTTATTTATTTTTTGTTTTGCTATTCAAAAACGTACTCACGCACTGGATTTGCATTGAACAGTAAAAGTTTCTCATTATACCAAAGCAAGCAGTTTCCTTAGGAACTGAGGAAAGCAGCACTTTCAAAGGGATGATTCATTGCAACATGCTGATGCCACTATTAACTGCTTTAATAAATTTTTAAATGAGCTTTTTTTTTTTTTTTTTTTTTTTTTTTTTTTTTTTTTTTTTTTTTTTTTTTTTCTATCCTTAAGGCGAATAAACATTAAACATTTAAGTATTTTGGAAATTATCTTACGTTTTTTGTTCATAAAATTCCCTTTAAAGTATAATGGAAAATTTTTCTTAAGATTTTTCTCTTCCATTATTAGATGGGATGATAGGCTTTCCTCTGTGAATAGAGCTGGAGATCTTGCAAAATTTAATCATTCATTCTTACAGGTAAATGTTTACCCTTAAAGTGCAAAGAAATATTTATTCTTACAGTTGTTTATGTTTAGTTCTTATCAACATATTTGTAATAAATAAGGTAAGCTAATCCTACATAAGATCAAAGTTAAAGTCTTACCAAAGTCTTACTTTGAGATTAATTCAGAATTAAAAACAATTTATTCAATTTTTTTCAAATTTTTCTCTTTTATTTTGTATATTTTTGAAGATATACAAAAGTAGTCAAACCTTCCGTCGGTGGACACTCATGGGAATTGATAGTTCGTTGTATATGTTTCATTAATTCAGTAATGAATTAGTGTTCGGTAAATTGAGAGTACGCTAGTTTCTTGCTTCGAAGATATGGGAATTGAGGAACCTCTAAACGGAGTGTCCGTTGATGGAGATGCCTGCGTGATTTAATTTCAAAATTGCATTTAAATTTGATTCCTTTTTTTTATCTCGAAACATATTGTAATAAATCCTTATTGTCTTTGGTTCATTGTTATTCTAGGTATATTCGTCCCAGACTTTATTGCATTTGAAAGATTTAATATTCTTTCTGACATTGATAGCAAAACTGTACACATATTTTAAAAAGAGGAGATGATTCATTATAAACTATTCTGAAATGTTAACTGAAATAAGTTAAAATATATTTTAAACGTTTTTAGGCTGCTGGAATGTTTTTGGGCGAATTATCATGCCTCATTGCTTTTAAGATTTTCTTGTGCATGCAGAGGAAAAAAAAGGAAAACCCTGAAGGAGTGCCGAGTATACATTCTCAAAGATTCAATCCTATGATCTTTCTTCTGCCTGCTTTATGTGACGTGACAGCAACGTCTATTATGAATGTTGGACTCACCTTCATACACGCTTCAAGCTACCAAATGTTGCGAAGTAATTTCATTTTATAAATGCCTTTTTGTATTTCGCTGTATTCATATTATTTTTGCATTTATTACACCTTACTATTCATTTATTTTAGGTGCCGTAATTGTGTTCACTGGACTATTATCGGTAGCATTTTTAGAAAGACATCTGAGAGTTTGTGAATGGGTAGGAATATTTATCGTTATTTTCGGCTTGCTTTGTGTTGGTATATCTGATGATTTTAGCTCCAATCCAGGCTCAGAGCACAATGCTAGCTTAAATGGCATAATAACAGGCAAGTATACTTTTAATTCATATTTTTTGTAAATACTTAATATAATCATACGATTTGCGATATTATAAAATATTTATTTCATTCTTAATCTCTCTATTACAAATTGTTAGATTCCTGTATATCGCATTCTTATAAGAAATCCAGAGTCATCGTATTAAGGATTATGCTTGTATAATCCTTTCTATTCTAATGACAGTATTATGTAAAAGTTTTGCTTGATGCTGATAAAAATATTACTAATGCCTTGTGTGCTTTTGTAATAGCAGGAGTCAGCACCATTAAGTAGGAAGATGTAGCTGATATAAAAACTAGGTTAGGAAAAATTGCTGAGCCATACTCTTGAGTTCAAAGCTACGTGCAATGTACTAAACCAGCGGTCTCAATGCAGTCATCTGGATCACATGTGGCGTCCATATCAGGACCACATGTGGCGCCAAAGCAATTTTATGCGGCCCGCGAAGATATATCGGCTATAGATTTGTTGTGTTTAATTCGTGTTTAGATTATTTTCATTTCCATTAAGAACGAGCACGAATAACGCAAAAGAAAATTTTTATATAGAGCTAATTAATTGACCCTATGCTATAAATCTTATTCAAAGATTTGAAGATGCAGATTTTAGGAACTTTGCTTGTACTTGTCAAAAATAAAAAAAATAAATTAGCAAAATAATGAATTTTAGCACTAAGAATAATCGCTTTGCTTGAAAATACGTTTACATGTGAGCAGCTTTTTTTCACAGTTGAAAATTAATAATAAAAGAATTAATTCACTAATGAACTTCTATAAATCTGTGATTAAAATAATTTTTAGTAATTTAATTAAATTAATCTCAAAATGACGCAGTGCCAAAAGAGATTATTGTTTTTAGAAGAAGTAGGTAGGGAAATTAAGTAGTAGAGAAGGGAAGTTAATTTACGCTGCTAATTTAAATTTTATCTTTTATATACTCTTTATTTTTCTTATATATATATACATTCACACTGTTACCCGACTCGGTGAACTCAGAATTTTAAATTCTTATATGTTGGTAAACTATGCATCCCTAATACGTTGGTAAAGTGTGAATTTTTTGCTTTAAAAGTGATTAAATATTGTTGTACTTATGTTTCGGTTAAGGCTTTTATGCCTTTAGTTTTATCTGCATGCAATAGTTGTAGAATTACCAACAATTTAAAAGTTTAAAAAGCGCTAGGTCTAACGTGGCTGCCATTCGTTTACATACGGAACTCTTAGCAGAACAGTAAATTGTGTGAAACTGTTGGTAAAATAGATGGTACATCAACCTGAGTGTCTTTTTACCCAGTGCAGAAGCTAATTTTAAATTTTGTGAAAAATTTTTGAAATAACTTTAAAATTTGTCTTTCTACCCGTTGTTCATTTCGCTTAGAAATTCTAACTTTAGATGTAAAAATTCTTTTTTAAGCTGTTTTATCTGTATTTGATGTTTTATTTTTTTTCCGGAATTTTACAATTTTTAATGAAGATTGAATTTTACGTATTTTTGCCTTGCAGTGAAGTACGAAGAACTGAACTGATTCGATGAGAAATATATCTGTAATGAAATTCGAGGGAATAAATTTAAATTATGTGCAGCAAAAATGTGTATAATTTAATACGCCGTACAAGGAAGTCACGTGGTGTCCACATATAAGATTATTTTATTTTAGATTTAAAAAAAAATATTGTAGTTAATTTGCTTACAACTAATAACTATTAGTATAATAATTATATATTATGCGATAAAAATTAGGGACAAATCGAATAACCTTGAACACAGAATTATTGAACGCAGGCATGTATTCAGGTACGCTTGAGAGCAAGTCTGCGTTGAACCTTGAATTTGCTTCTTGAATTGAGGAACGCAGTTCATTAAAAGAAACGGATTGTTTCATTCAGTGGTCCTTTTATCAGCAATATTCATTCGAATTCCCTTACATTGTAAATTGTTTCATTATGCCAGTTAGGGAAATCTGTCAATATTTTTAAGAATAAACGGAGCAGTACGTTTTCTAGAAAATTATTCAAACTAATTCTCGAATCGTCTCGATACTTCTGTTTATAAGATAGGCAATGTTTCTAGCAGTATCTAAAATTTGTATAATGGCATGTTGACTTTTGGATGTTTCAGGTAACTCATGTTATGGTAACATATTTTGCTTTAATTACAAACTTTTAATATTAAGAGGTTTTTCTCTCCTCATTTTTTTTCTTCTTCCTTTTTTCTTTTCATGCTTTTATTTGAAGGATTTAAGGACTTCGAGAATCTTTCAGTATTTGGATTCCGATTTGGGTTCATTCGTTTCTAATAAATAGAATATACAACTGATTATACTTTTAATTTTTTGTTCAAGGTTGCGAAAAAAGTTTGATTGAAAGAATGAAACATGAAAATATTAATTTCGAAAAATGATTTAATTTTATTGCTGTGTAGAGTCATTAGGTTATTTTGGAAGCAGGAGACGTGCAAAATAAACAATGCCTTCGCCGAGACTCCAATCTGGACTTCTCGAATACGCGCCGAGTGTGCTAACCATTACACCACGGAGCCATGCCAGAAGGATGGAGAAATACCTTATATACATCCGCTTTTAAAGGGCGACTTGGTATCAAGAAATCCAATCACAAAATCCTGGTTTGAAAGATCGTTATCCACTACCTTTTAATTCGGGCGCCACTATAGAGTCATTAGGATATTTTTGAAACCGGAGACGTGAAAAATCAGAAGTGCCTTCATCGGGGCTCGAATTTGGACCTCTCGAATACGCGCCGAGTGTGCTAACTGTTACACCACGAAGGCATGTCGGAAGGAGGGAGAAATATCTTATAGCTATAAAATCATTTATATATTTTAATCCCGCCCTTCTATTAACTGTAAACCGCAAGAAGTCACATATGTTAGTTTGCGGATGAATGGTAAACATTTTGTTTGTTATATTCTGTCTACGTGCTGCTGGAGTTATGTTTAAATACACAATGCATATTAATAACAATAGGTCATTGGCTTTTGATAAATTTCTGTACTTCAGCAGCACACAAATAAAATTTCCTTAGGATTTAAAAGATATAATATGATTGTAGATATTATCTAAAATACTTCTTTTTATGGCATGGTGTAATCTTCTGAGTTATAGAATAAAGCAGGCTCATTAATAAAAACTAAATTTGCTTTTGATTTAATGTGTTCTAAAAGTGATCATAAAAAAAGTGATCTAAAAGTTCTAAAGTTCTAAAAGTGTGATATTTGTGTCTTTCGTTTAGGTGACCTTCTGATTGTATTGGCACAAATTATTGTTGCGACTCAAATGGTTTTAGAGGAAAAATTTGTAACAAAATACGACATTTCTGCATTAGAGAGTATTGGATGGGAAGGTTGGTGTGTATATTTGCTTTGATTTTCTTCAATTTTTTTTTTTTTTTTTTTTTTTTACATTCAGCAGTAACACACAAAAGCCTCTGATTTTTAAACGGTAATACTTTTTCAATCCCTATTCATTATATCATCGTATAATTACACGATTTCGACAATAGTTGTGAGCCACAAAAGCGTTTTAAGTTAGAGTTAAAAGTGCTTATTTTTAAATTTAAAAATTAGCTTCAAAATACGATTGGTATAAAACAATTATTTTGCTAACTGAAAATTTTGTTGTAAAGAGACTCTGAAAAAATTAACCAAATGTTTATTCGGGACACACGTGTGACGTAGCACATGACGTTAGTAACCTCCTTTATTTATTATAACGGATAGTGCGTACAACGAACGATTCATAAAAATGACCTGTTAGATATCTTATAGAGATTGACAGCTAAATAAATTTTTAATCATACAAGTTACATATATTACTAAAATTAAACTCATGTAAATGCTACTATTGCTTTCAAATTGCTCAGTTGGCTAAGTAGCCGCTGTTTAAATTAAGAAGTTAAGGATCTTTTGCTCCTCCGAAGGGCAGTAGTCTGAAAAGTGGCTGTTTAAGGCCCACTTGAAGATTTTATAAATATTGAAAAAGGAGAGCATTCAGCAGAGCACATGGACGATAAATGCCTTGAATGAAATGAAATTGAAATGAGTAAAACTATAGAAACTGTTCTGAATTTCGGAGCAAGAAAAGTGAAAATGAGCTATGCCTTTTCTATTTGAATCGTGCACCAAACTGATACAGTGGTTAGCGTCGCTGACTTCCGTGCCGAGCGGCCCGGGTTCGAATCCCGGAGAGCGTATGGTTGTTTGTAAATATATGGTATCTGTGCGGCATGGGGCACTTTAAATATACGGCTAGCCAAAACTCCTCTCGAGAGGTTGGTGGTAAAGGCTATTGCCAACGACAGGAGTAATATTGGGCTCCTTATTACAAGGAATTTCGAGGGCTTGGGCTGACTATGCGTCAGACAAGTGAGCATTAGTCAACACCAATTTGAATCGAGGATTTTCCAGTTGCTGGTTGGATGTACTAACCACTCATACACCACATCATTCAGGATAAAATGGTATATTTCCTTATGAAGTAACGTAAAGTAATGGCCTAAAAATGAATGACTCTGGAAATTTCTAACGTTCAAAAACGATTTTTACTAGATAATATTATTTCACTGCACTGAATGTATATTGCAATGCAATCGTTTCCAGCTTCGCGCTTTGATATATATATATATTTACTTAAAAATATTAATAAATGATCATAAAAGGAAAATAAAACAGTCTTAAAATAAAAATAATATTTATTGCATATGAAGCTTTTGGTATACACGAATTAATTAAGGTTTTTTTTTTCTTTTTTTCGAGAGAGTTATTAAAAGATAACTGCTTATTTTATCGGTGTTTATGGAACTCGTAGATTAAAAAGACTAGGGTAAAATATATGCTGTTGAATTACATATTATCGTTTTAAATATAAACATACTTAAGGAGGTATATATTATGATTAACTAATAATTAGAAAATAATGTTAGATAGTAATAACTCATAAGATGTGCATCAAGATTTGTTTGCTTCGATACAAACAGACAAATAGTGGCAGAAAACATATCGAATTCTTTTTTAAAAAATTAAAGATTTTCACTTTATTAAGATCACGCAGAAAATTTCGTTTGGTATGTTTTCTTACACAATATAAAAAATATTATAGATTTTAAGATTTAAATGTATCAATTTGAACGTTATGATCACGATTCACGATTCTCTTTTATTCACGAGTTGGGAGAGCATCAATTTAATCGAGAATATACGAGTATGTCAAGAGTCAATATATGCATTTTCACGTAAAGACTCAACTCGATAATAAGAACTTCCAGTTGAAAGACAGAAATATTTAATGAAGTGCCTATGTACATTATTCAAAACACGAAATTTTCCCCATCATAGGGCCAAGATTAGTTTTATCAAGAACAATTATTATAATTACTGATTACCGCTATGTGGCCAAGAACAGATCGTTTCAAGAGTCACACTCAAGACAAACTAAAGAGTTATTACATTCTTTCTCTGCCGCCGCCTGTCATGTGACCTAGTCGGCGACAGACGATAAATAATAAAAGAAAAATTGACTCCATCGGACAGAAAAAGGAAGAATTTCAACAAAATATAAAATTGTAAATTTAAACATGATAAAAAAATTTCTTTTCATATTTTACAGGTTTGTTTGCTTTCGCTATCGTATCAGTACTATTGGTGCCTATGTATTACATTAAAGTTGGAAAAAGTATCTTTAATAATCCTTATGGAAGAATGGAAGACGCCCTAGATGGCTTTATTCAGATGTCAAATAGCTGGCAAGTAACTCTGGCTTTTACAGGTGAGAAATTATATTTTAATTCTTTTACAGGGTATCTTTTAATACACATATGTCCGGTCTCGCATTTTCTAAATTATTAAATAGGAATATATTGTTTTCGTTGCTTCCGTTTAAACTACGTGAAAAGGTTCAGATAAGGGTTTTCCACGCTTTACAAAAGTAGAATTCTTGCTTCTGGGAAACATTTCGTAAGTCGAAATAGTGTAAAGCAAAAAGCAATTACCACTAATTTACGTGCAAAAGTCTTTGAGCTTTCCAAGCCCTTCCTTCCAGAAATTCTTTGAACTCATAGGAATAAAAAATAGACCATAGTTTGATTGTAAAATACTACACTTTAATTCTAAATTATGCACTAATATATCTTTTGCAAAGAGTCCTTACAGGATTTCACAGTTTTTGATTCTTCGGGGAAAGCGATAGAACGCCGAAATAAATTCTTTTCCCGAGCTCGAAATTTACATTACTAAGGAGGGCCTTGATAGAAGATACGATAGAGAGGAACACAAAAACCTCTGCGGTGGAAGGAAAAAAAATGGGTCTTATTTATTACCTCATCGCTACTTCCATAAGATCACCGTATCTACAGTTTCGATGCCTCTTTGACTGTATGCAAAGCTGAAATTTTATCGTACTCTTCCCTGTTGCGACAGGTTTGAAATTAAGATAGTATTACTTATAGTATACCCCTTGCCTTACAGTTTTTCGTAGGCAGTTAAAACATGTTGTAAAAATTGAATTAAATTCATATGCTGTATAAGTCACACGTTTTGCAGTCACTGCATAAAACTATAAAGAATTATTTCCTTCCATAGTGCGTGCTCTTGTGGTGTAACTTGTAGCACACAGAGCTACCTTTCGGAAGATCCATGGTTGGACCTCGAAGAGGGTATAACAGAATTGTTGTGTTCCCTATTTTGAAAAAACTAATAGTTCTACACACACACACAAACACTCAAAAAAAAAAAAAAAAAAAAAAAAAAAAAAAAAAAAAAAGAGAGAGAGAGAGAGGAAAAAAGAGAGGAAAAAGGGAAAAAAAAAAAAAGAACTGAATTATATATATATATATTCATTTTCGTAAAAGGGAAATACTATTACACGATATGTCAGCATTCTCAATGCCTGCCTAGAAAATAACTACTTTCCCGAAAAATGGAAAAAGGCTAAAGTCATTCTCTACATTCTTCTTCAAAGCCGGGAAAAAGATGCACCAACCGGAAGGATACCGTCCGATAAGTCTACTCCCAGGACTGGTAAGATTTTCGAAGGGTCATTTATAAAAGAATTGAACCGCATATGGATAAGCTCCCAATGGAACAATTTGGCTTCCGTAAAAATCTCTCCACGACAAAACAACTTGTTTCGTCTGTGTGAATTTATTGGATTTGCTTTATTTAGACATCAAAGCGTCGCCTTACTCATGCTAGACTGGCGAAAGCTTTCGACGCGTCTGGCATGAGGGGCTCATTTCAAGCTCATCACACTTGATTTCAGTAGAGACCTCATCTTACTGATTAACTCTTTCATACGAAACCGCAAATTCTTTGTAAACTTTGGTTATGAACACTCTGAGACCAAATATCTGAAAGCCGGGGTAGCTCAAGGATCTATTCTTGGCCCAATTCTGTATCTCTTTTATGGTTATGACTTACCCAATAGTTCTGATCTCAATACGTACCTCGGATGTTATTCAGATGACACCGCCCTTGCCGTGAAGTCACATAATCAAGATCATGCACTGACAAAACTTCAAGAAAAAATTCCAGCCATAGAAGAATGGTGCACTAAATGGGGAATTGCAATTAACGGACAAAAATCCCAATTGATTATCATTGGTAAGAAACATTCCCGAATCCCTTTAGACAAAAAAATTAATATCTTTAATGAAGAAGTGCCACTTGTTAAAAAGGCTACTTATCTTGGTATAAGTTTTGAATCACAGATTCACCTGGAAAGACCACATTCACAGCATTAAATGGAAGACCTCCTAACTATCAATAATCTCCTCCCTCTAATAGGTAAAAAACTCTAGACTTGATCTCAAAAGGAAACGTCACATCTATACTGCAATCATCCGACCAATTTTCTGTTACGTCATCACCTGCCTGGACGACCTAACACTCAAAGCGACATGAAAAAACTCCAAAATTACGCAAAACAAACTTCTCAGAATATTACTAATGCGCACTTTTAACGTTTCAAATGAGACCTTACATAGAGACCTACGTATTGACAGAGTTGAAGAGTTTCCTTAAAATTAATAAAAATTCTTTGAAAAAAAAAAAATTGTCCTCATATGAAACACTTCAAAGTGTTTGATTATCAGATTTTTGCAGAAGACGCACGTATTCGACCACTTGCGGCCTTCACCGCTCGAGATTCGAACTTTCCTACGTAACTTTTCACGAGTGCAACGTCGCTGTATATATGTATATAGACTTTTGCCATATTTTATTTTATTTGTATGTATTTTTTCATTCTAATAAATTGTATATGCTTCTGCTTTTTAGTATTATCTTATCATGACATGTACCTATCATGAACAACAGAACAAGTCTGATTTTCACACTGTTTTGCCTCTCCTGGTTCTGAGTTCGTCTGTGTGTTTTATAGACTTGTGATGTCATGCTGTCACACCCCCTCTTCGCACTACTGATGCCTCCTTTCAATTGTCACTGCTTTCTACCGTCATGCGCCCTTTGGGCATATGTATCATGAGCCGGAAACATTGCGTAAAAGCAGCAATATGCCGGCAATATCGATAATGATGATGATGATGAAAAGGGAAATCTTCACATTTCTTTCGCTTATCGAAAGGTACTCATTTAGATGCTTAATAAAAGCGAAATTTCATAAAACGAGGACTTATTAAATTACGGCAAAGACGGTCTATTTCTTTAAGGGAAAGGATGCTTGATGCTTTCGTGAAGGGTTTGTCTTCTTAAGGGAGATTCGCTCGCATTCATGTTGCATATGAGAGAAACCCTGCGCACTTTGCACTTTATGGATTATATAGTATAAGAAAAACGCATTTTACTATATATATATTGCGCAAGGTTTGCTTTATGTTAATGATTTCCAAAATCCAATGCTCATTTTAGATATTTGCAGTTTGTAATTTAATTCTAGTAAGTACTAACTTTTTATATTACTTAAACATAAAGTTATTGGTTTAAATTTCTTCTATTTTTCCCCTTAGGAACTATTATAGGTACTGGCATCGGTAATTTTGCTGGATTAAGTATAACCAAGGAACTGAGTGCTACAACCCGAATGGTTTTGGATAGTGCTAGAGCATTTGTTGTATGGATATTCTGTCTGTTTTTCACATGGCAAGAGTTCCATTATTTGCAGTTAGTTGGATTCCTCTTACTTTTTATTGGAATGTGCCTCTATAATGATGTCATTATTCAACCAATCTGTCACAGGGTATTTCGTCAAATGCACTACTACAGAGGCAAAACAAGCTCCTGCGATGATGAATCGACAAGCCCGTTGACTGAGCCATTATCTATAAACTCTTGAGGTTTCTTGGAAATATTAGTTTAGATCCACAAGGTGTTCGAAAATAATTTTGGGATTTTATATTAATTTATGTGATAATAAATTTTACATAAAATATTCTGAACTTTTCTAGTGCAGGTATTGATTTATATACACTGGTGTGCAAAAATTAAGGACGAGACGGTTTTTTCAATATAACTTTGTACAAAAGCTTTCCAAATCAACACATTTAATACCGTAAGATCCCCAATACGTAAGGACATGAGTAATGTAAGCAACACTTACTAAAAGAGAAATCAGAGGGATAAAAAGAAGCTTTATTGAAAAAGTAGCATGGAGCGCAATGCAACTGAGGGCCGAAACATCCCTGTGATGGGTGTCCAGCAAGAAACATCCGGTCTTTAATAGGGGATATGATCTTCCCTGACTGCTAGGCAGGTTTCATAGCGTCTGCCCATGCTGAGAATGAGGGTGTCAATGAGTTGTTGAGGCATTGCTGCCCATTCGTCTTGCAGCGCCAATCGAAGCTCCGGAATCGTTACTGGTGGTAAGGTACGAGCTGCCAAGCGTCTGCCTAGAAAATCCCATACATGCTCGATGGGATTGAGGTCCGGAGATCGTGCCGGCCAATCCATACGTTCAATATCCTCACTCTCTAAGAGCTGTTCGGCAGCTACTGTGCGATGACATGGTGCATTGTCGTCCATGAAAAGGAACTGCGGACCCATAGCGCCTCTAAAAAGACGCACATATGGACGAAGAATCTCGTTACAATAACGGGTCCCGTTGACTGAATCTGCGTCGAAGATGTGAAGGTCTGTACGACTACCAAGCATGATGCTCCCCAACGAGAACACCGCCACCTCCATACCTGTCCCTTTCAATGATGTTCGAGGATGATTGCGACTTTCCCGCTCTCTCCAGATGAGTATGCGATGAGAATCGCTACTCAGACTGAATCTGCTCTCATCTGTAAAGAGTACTCGTCCCCATTCATTGTCTCTCCAATTCCGGTGTTCCTGGCACCACAGAGAACGCCTTCTCCGATGGGCAGGCGTTAGAGGTACACACCGTACAGGGCGTCGTGCAAACAGACCACCACCGTGCAGTCTTCTGGCCACGGTAAAACGCGATATCGGTCGTCCAGTCGCCTGTGTCGTGTGTCAAGCGGTTTCTCCCGCTGTCTGCCGCCTGTTTCTTCTGGCCTGTAAGGCAATATACTGGTTATTTGCGGGTGTAGTTCCTCGTGGACGACTACTACTAAACCCCCGGATAGCTGTTCCTGTAGTTTGAAATTGTCTCCAAAGTCGCGAAACGATGCTGTGAGCAATTCCGAACTCTGCAGCCGCACTTGTCACACTGCGGCTTTCCTCCAACTTCCCAATGATTGGACCTCGGGTAAAAGCATCCAGATGTCGTCTAACAGTTTGATTATTCGCCATTTCTCGCTGAGGCAGCAACTCGGTGTGATTTTAACTGCTATACGGCATGCAATCTCTTTGCCAGAAATACTGATCTTACACCGACAACATGCTTTATACTACTCAGACACTCCCCCATTACGTCTACCTGCATATCTGCGCATGTGCTACCGTAATTACCTTACTTAATCTCCCGATTGGTCTTTCTGTCCGCTCTGCCTCTTCGTTCAGCTGATATGCTAATTTTTCGACTTCGTCCTTAATTTTTGCACACCAGTGTATCTTCTGGAACCTAGCTAGACTTCCTACGCAATTAACCACGTAGCACACATCAAAATGATATTTTTAGTCTATTCATACTCGAACTAAAATATTCTGATCTATGCTTCGAACAGCTGCAATATTTATTCTCTTAAGATGGGCAAGTTTCTGAATTCTTTCACTACTTATATGCGTTTACACGACTACGATAGGAATTAAATGAAGTAAGATCAGAGCTTCTTTAAGGCGAAATACGAAGCGCATTCTTTCAATTTACTATACTGAAAAAGGAATTTATTTTTAAAGATTAGAAGGTAAAAAAAGCTTATTAAATCCTGTCAGCGGCGAATGCGCATTTCTTAGTTCGTGTCGCGTAGTCGCGTATACAAACATCCACTACCCAAAATTAAGAAGTTTGTCTATTCTTCTCTGCTGTCTATTCTCTCTGCTTCGCTGCTCTCAGAATATAGGAAAGGCCAAGCACCTGTCAGTTCCTGTTGTATTTAATTTTATTTCACTGTTTCTTTGTTTTATAGATTCAGGTAATCGGAATATATATATATATTAAAGTCCAAAGGGGCTTTGTTCCCGAAGGACTGTTGTTTTCGTTCTGCGATTTTGCATTGAATCACTATAAATATCCGTTTCACTTTTCAAACTGTTGCCACCAAATGTTACAGTCCTGCATTATATTTGAAAATATTAAATAATGAAAAACCTCCATAAATGTATGTATATTGTGATAAAACAACGGGAAACATCGAATTTTGAATGACGTAATCCTCCTACGAATATGGGCATGTGGAAGACCAAATTTGAAATTTGGAATTTGTTTTATTATCGATTTCATGTTTTGTAAAACTTTAACGAATTTTTGATTAACAAACTCAAGGATTTCAAAACGAGCAATGGCAATACTCTACGGGAGGGGGGTCCTTTTTATCTCCAACGCGCGGAACTGTGTATCGGAATTTCTAAAGATAGGCTCATTTAAAAATTATTTTGAGACATTGCTATTGAACTGAATTTTGTGGTTTAAGTGCAAAGAACATGATATTTAATAAAAAAAGGTAACACACACAAAATGTTAAAAAAAAAGCCCCCTTGGACGTAATTTAAATTAAAATGTTACCTATGAAAAAAAAGAACTGGGGATGTGGACATTACAACATATTTACAGCATATGCAAAGTCGATACATATGTCTTTGCGGTGTCTGCCAAAAACATCGTGGCAAATACATCGCAGACGAAAACGTCGCGGAGAAAACAACGCAAGGCGAAAACGTCGTGGTGTAAAACATCGTGGGAGAAAAGAAAGCAAAGAGAAAACATCGCAGTTCTAAAACATCGTGGTACAAAACATCGTCGTCGTCAATAAAGCTATTTAAAAACTTCGCAGTGTAAAAACATCGTCGTCAAAAACATCGTGGTAAGGAATAAAGCACCTACAAATCATCGCATGACGAAAAAGTCACATATATGTGTTTTCAGGCTTTAAAAATTCGCATAATGATTTGTGAGCGAAAGAAGGAATGAGGAATATTTTTACTTCTATATTTTACATTTTGAATTAAATAATAAGTTTTTGCTGGAAAAATAAAAAGAAACTTTTAGCATTCAGAGCTTGAAAATGAGTAAAAAATAATTCCAAGTATAGCAGGTAATAGAATTTCGAACTTTAACAGTTAACTAATAAAGGTCATTAATTAATTAACCTTTTTTGTGAAGTTTCATTGGTAAATTTTCATGAAAAACATAGTTTAAGAAAGCTTAGAAAAAGGAAGATGAGTAACTGTATGAGGTTTATTAAAATTCTTTAATTAATCATTATATTATAAAATTATGCTAACTTCTAGAAGTAGCATTAATTTTCTACTCATTTTCAGCTTTTGGATGCTCAAGCATCTTTCGAAATTTTCCGATAAAATTTATTAGTTAATTCAAAAATGTAAAAATAAAAATATTCCTCATGCTTTTTCGTCCTTACAAATCATTTTGCGTTACGCATTTATAACTTTTAAAGCCTAAAAAAACACATGCCTGTGATGTTATCATCATGCGATGATTTGTAGGCACTTTATTTTTACCACGATATTTTCGACGACGATGTTTTTAAACTGCGAAGTTTTTGAACCGCTTTATTTTCGACGACGATGCTTTGTACAACGATATTTTAGAGCTGCGATGTTTCTCCTTGCTTTCTTTTCTCCCACGATGTTTTGTATGACGAAGTTTTCGCTTTGCGTTGTTTTCTCTGCGACGTTTTCGTTTGCGATGTTTTCGCTTGTAACCGTCTTTGCACAGGCTGTGGGCAATGGATACTGATGGAGCACCAGCAATGGTTGGCAATATTCATGTAATGGTAATATTAGTTAGTAATACTGCCCTCTGGAAGAAAGATAAGTCCTTTCCAAACTTTATGTCGTATCACTGCATCATCCACCAGCAAATTTTGCGTGGTAGAATATTAACGTCGATCACGTCATAAAAATATTTAGTCACAAAAATAGTAAACTTTATTCGAGTAGCTTCCTTACAACACTGCCTTTCAAAGACCCTACAAGAAAATCATGAAGGTTTGAAGTACGTTGGCTCAGTTCTTGCAAGATTCGTAAACTTAACTGAAGAAATAAAAAATTATCTGAAAACTAAAACTCAAAATTTTGTAAACTATAAGACTTTCGCTGTCTGGTAGATTTAAGTTTTCTCACAGGTACAATTGAGATTCTGAATTATATAAACTTGGAGGTGCAGGGGAAAGGTAAACAAATAGCTTTAATGATAGGGTCTGTTAAAGTCATTTAAAGCTGAATTGTTTTTTGCGAATATTACATCTGCAGATGAAGTCGTAAATTTCGCGAATGTGAAACAAATGATAAGCGAACCTGAAAATGAGTTGTCCTTACTTGCTATCAACCTTCAGTTACTTCAAGACCAGTTTGAAAAACAATTTCAATACTATTGAGCCAATCAATGATCCCCTATTAGTAGTATACCCCCCACTATATGCGGCAAAAGGATGCCGCCATGACGTAATAGAACAATAGATTACGCAAGAGAACAATAGATAACGCAACAGGGGGTATGTCCTTGATGTGCCGCCACCGCCATCTTGGATCACGTGATAATCGGAAGTGACGTAGATGGATGGGATGACGTAATCGTGTTGAGTTTCGTTTTTATGGTGTGGCAACGATCTTTTCAAAGCTTTTATTTTTTGTGGCAACGTGTGAACCACATGTTTGGAATCACATCACTTCAAACATATTCATGCTGCATGTAATTTATTATTTTTAATTATTTACTCTTTTTAATAAGTATTTTAATTATTTAATTTGTCATATTTTAATTACCTTTAATTAATTTTTATTCAATTTAATATTATTTTCCCTGAATTTTAAAAATAACTCCACGAGCGGGTTTCGAACCCACCATCTCTTG